CGAAGTTTGCAAAGATCTTTATTCACACACACGCCGACAATGAGTTCATCTCGGCATTGGCTTTTTATCCCTCAAATAAACTCATATTAAAGCCCATTTATATACCAACACACTCTCCTATCATGTGACTTTTTGTTTTTCTGATCCTGGCCTAAAAAGTGTTTATCTCAGTTATTCCGACTCTGAGCTCATCAGAGTTGGATCTTTGGACAGAGGACACAGGCAGTAGAGAGTGTGTCCACAGAGGCCGGCCTGCTTTGGTCCAGCAGCTTCTAGCTGCTGGTGGCAACAGGCCAGTGGGCACCTGAGTGCTGGTGGAGCAGAAGAGCAGACCGTTCGTCCAGCTGGCTCCTAAATGTCCAATTTTCCATGGCAGAGCACAATCGGCCCTCCACAACAGATGCAGGGGACCCAACCGGGAGTCCACTGCAGCGCCTGTCCTATATTCACATTTAATGACCATACATATAAATATGATTTTGGCTGGTGAGTCAAAATCATACTTGGTTTGCAAAAACTCACCACTTTGTCGAGGGTGGAAGTGTTATTTCTGCTGTCAAAACGAGAACTGCATCACGCAATTATTTCTTTAGTATTTGTCTGTTGCGTTTCATCGATGTTGAACGCTCCGAAAAGATTATCAGACGTTCAGAGATGAAAGCGTTTACCGTTTATAGGTGGAGACTGGATTTTGTTTCTCTTTTACAGGATATGGTTGACTGGCTGTACAGACAGGTTAGCCTGAAAATGGGAAAAACAGCAATTTTAGTTTTATGCAGAAGTGCAGTGGACAAGGTAGAAGGTAAATGAGATGTCTCACTACATTAGCGTAAAACAGAAATTGATTTTAAAAGACGTCATTCGTGATACTCCTTTTTTTTTTAAAATAATGTGCCTCTACTGCCTAAGCAAAGTATCCAAGTCTTAAAAGACAGCAATGAGTCCTTCTGGTCGCAATCTCCACAATAGCATCCGTCTAATTTCTCTTTAATGTAAACCACAAAAGCCCTGACTGTGCAGCATGCTGAACTGCTTTCATGACCAAGTTTAATTGAGCAAAATCAAAACTTTTTTTGAGGAAATTATCAGTAACATTTTCAAACCCCACCTGCAACAATTCGTCTCTCATGCCGATGTTCGCCCAACTTTGACCAAGCAGTGGTATAATTACAACAGTACGAACCACCACTGTATTGTTTTGTGGGGCTTTTCCTGTCAGTTGCAGAAGTTAAAATCTCTTTTTGGATCTAAACTTGGCAAAAAAAAAAAAAGTTGGGAAATTGGTCAGCTATTTCTTCCTGTTTATTTCTTCCAAAAATGATGTCATTTGTGTTTTGGTGAGCAGAGCTCAGTACGTGAGGTGCAGCCATCACAAACTCGCCAAATCATCTCTGGCAATATCAAAAAAACGTCTCCTTCTTTTGACTCCATTGGTGTTGATCAATGGATTTGATAGTTGAGGTTTTGAACACACATGTAAACCTGTTGGGTCAACTCCCATGCATCCAATGATTAATGGACCATTTCTCCTTGATTCATCTCCGATTTCATTGAACAAATGCCAGACTCTCTCGCTGTTTGTGGCGAACCTTTAGGGGTTTGTTTTCTCTTTTAGCAGTGAGCCGTTACATTAGGCAGCTCTACATTTAGTCTCACCGAGGAACAATTAGAGCGTAACCTGCTCCGCTTCTTTCACAGCGAAACATCCTGGCTGGGGGATTCGGTCCTCTGAGTGACTTTTTTTTTGGAAGATTTCTCCGAGCCACGCGTTCCTCTGTGAGGCATCAGACTCCTGCAGAAGGAACCGGTGATGAATTCAGTTTCCCCTGTGACCCTGCAGGGCCAGACAGACACCATCTCACGATGGCTGAAGGTGTGTGGGGCTGGAGGTCGGGTTTGAGGCGGGGGGCGGAGGGGACTGTCTGGCTGGGACTGACTGCACTGATAAATTTCACATCGTCTCTGAGAGTCACAGAGCTGTCAGTGCAGAGTGATGGGCCATGCCAGGACATGATGCACTGATCTAATTGGAGAAGAGCTCAGAGACAGCGGAGGAGATTCCAGCTGATCTGTAGCTCAGGAGCATTTCCTCCGGGGATTTTTCCTGGTTTATATATAACCGCAGGTGAAACAACAGCACAGTTTTCTTTTGTTAAGCCAAAGTCGGCTTCAGTCTTTCACCAGTGGAATCAACTGTGAATAAGGGTTAAAAAAAGCAATAGGATTAAAAAAAACAACTACTTTTAATCAGGCTTGATTTTTGGGATCTGATCTGAAATGCGGAAAAAATAATAATATTAACAATTTATGTTACCAACACAATTAGAACCGCATTCAGTGGACGGATGAGTCACGGCAAACATTTCTGAATCTCTAACTTCTGATGTGCTCTGAATTACTGCCTGGTCCGCCAAACATGGAGCTCAAAACAAAAAACAAACTTAAATCAATATCGTAAATTCTCAGGCATTTGGCTCACTCGGCGAAGGCCTCCCTCAAACAACTAATTCATCCTGGCAGCGAGATTTATTTTCCAAAGCAAACAAAGACCATCGGTAAGACCTCAGGTGTTGATACACCTGCCTGTTTTTTGTTGTTGTTGTTGTTTTTCCCCCTCAGGTTTTCTGGAAGCACCATCTGGCTGCGGATCTTATTGGAGATCGTTTAAAGTGAGGAGTGAGGCCCGTTGGAGTCGGTTGCGCAGCGACACTTCAGAGGAAACGCAGGCCGACGGCTGAAAGGAACGGAGCTCAAACCTGAAAGTTTGTGTTTGTAGATTAGTCTGCTTAAATGTGTACAACTTCGACTTGTGATTTGCCGACAAATAAAACCTCATTTATGCCAAGAGTAACGGCTATACTTTCACTTTAACGGAAGTTGGCACAGATGTTTTTATTTGAAATATTAAAAGTCTGTTCTTATTTTTGAGTCGGCTTGAATTGGTCTAAAATCATTGTGTCCTAACCTTTAGGAAAAATAATTTCTAGTATTACACTATTTACAATATCTACACCAAATGCATATAACCATTTTTGATCATATATGAACTTCTTATTCTTTTAATTTTGTAAATTCTTGAATTAATTTTAATAATTCTTGAATTCTGACATAATCAGTGTCAGCGTTTCTTTTGTTTCAACAACATAACGTCCCACGATTCTACGGTAATGTGTATTTCTGGACAAAAGTGTTGGGTTACTTGCCTTTCATCTTTCATGACATCCGATTTCAAGGTTTTATTTAAGGCGCTGACCCACACTTTACACCTCACACACACTCAACTTGGGAAGTGTGTGTAAAGTTTACGAGTGTGTTTATGCTCCAGGAGAGCATTTTGTGAGGTCAGACGCTGACGTTGGACCAAATGGCCTGCCTCTCAGTCCGCTCTAATTCACTCTAAAGGTGACCTATGGTGCTGATGTCAGGGGCCTCTGTGCAGACCAGTAAAGTTGCTCCGAACCGGGTCATCTCATTAATGCTCTTGTTTTTGTTCTGAGCAGAGTTGGAGCGGGCCTGGGCCAACTCCAAACCGCTATACACACAGTCGGAAACGCAACATTGTTCAAACAGTCTTTGTTAAGAGCCTCTTTCACCACCAGCAGAAAACCTCCCAAACGATTTCAAACAACATCGGCTTCTTGGCTGGAGATCTCCGTCACCAACCGACATACAAAATATATAACCAAACCTTACACTTTAAGAATGTTTTTTTTCCCCCTCACTTTTATTCACTACTCAATAATTGTTACTTTCGTTTAGCATAAATGCTGCCTCGTACCTTGTACCTTCTGATTTTAGGTGGAAAATGCCGTCGGGTGATTTGACGATGATTTTTATCAATTTGACTGATGTCCATGTCATAATGTAGTACCTGATCAATTTTATTTTCCCAACAATCACCTCACGCAGTAAGAAAACGAGCTGAGGTTTTATTAATCACAAACCCAGCAGGGTGATGGGTGAGTCCTTCTGTCTTTTTCCTGCTTGCCCATTTCATGCTTGCTGTGCTACCTTGACGAGTAATGTAGCTTGATAAATTTAATTGATAATGTTATTGGGGCCCCCACTTTCAAAAGCACTGGAGAAACAGGAATCATAAAGCAATGATAGAAATATGAAATTAAGGTGTTATTATGGGTCAAATGAACTAAGTTTGATATATTTTGACACTGCCTTGCTTTTCTATCAGCTTGATAAATTTGAGACGCATTATTTTGGTGTTGGTTCATTATGGATCTTTATCATGAATCTTGACCTACCACAGTGTAGATTATAAAACATAGCGTGGAGCCAAATTGGTACCAAATTTTAAATGTTAAATAACATTTAAATAAATAAATAGCCCAACCTGTCTATTGTAAGCAATATGAACTGATCCACAATATTGTAACTTTTTCTTTCTTTCTTTTTCTTTTAAACCTTCAGTCCATTAATTGGCTCTTGACTCCATATTCTTCTTCTCGTAGCGCCAGTTGGACGTTCCTCATCTTGACACCAGGAATCAGGAAGGCCTGCAGGGAATTCGGCTTCCAACGCTTCCGATCGAGTCGCTAACTCATTTGCACACAGAACATGCTCATAAACAAACCTCACCGGGGGGGGGGGGGTGAACAAAACACGCAACAGACTGAAATTGTTTCCCGCCGGCATAAATCAAACGGGCCTGGAGGAGGACTTGTTTTAATCTGAGGAGGATGTTGTGTATACAGGTTACATATTCGAGTGTCCTTGTAAAGAGATAGCGCCATAATTTCTGGTGTCGCCCACATTAATTGGGGCAGCAGCTGCAAGGAGCTTGACCTGCGCTGTTGCTTGGCAACTATTAGCCGAGCGTATAGAGAAAATGTAAACCAGAACGATTGTCTCCACCTTCTCCACCTTCTCCACCTCCTCCCCCCATGCACCCCCATGCACCCGCTCACTGGGAATTACTTAACAAGATTTGAAACCTTCCTGGAATCCCAAATGGGAGAAAAATGAAAAATAATAGTAATAATACGAACAGAAAACGGTTGATTTATTGGCAGCACAGGATTGGACAGATTTACAACACAGCAAAAGCAAGGAAAGGTCCAGTTATTGAAACAAAACACAAAGAAAGCAACAAATCAAGAACACCTGAAAAGTCCAGCAAAAAAAAAAAAAAAAAAACGGTTTCACCTTTTTTTAGTTAAATGCTACAATGTGATTTGTGGATTCTACTGTAAAAAATAATAATAATAAAATAAAAAGAATTACAGAATGAAGAGCTGCAAAGCAATTATGCTAAATAAAACGGACCTCTTCACAGAATGGCCTCCGTCAAAAACGGGCGTCCACAGACACGGCGCGCTCGATTAAACATCAACACAAAAAGGAACCTCAGATGTAATAAACTCCAGTATGGAGCGCCTCACCAGTATATACTGTCATAGTACTCCGTGTAATAACCTTTCAGTAGAAAAAAAACAACATCTTATTACAAACAGAAATGAAGCACGTTACACATCATCTAACTGGATGTACTAAATGAATACATTCAGTTAATGTAATACTTTTAAAACCACTTTTACCTAATAAAACTGAATAAAATCATTGGCTTTTTTTTTTATTATTATTTGGGTGTGTTTTGCAAAAACACAAATTTTTACTACTTTGTTTGTTTGCTTGATTAAACACATTTTGAGCAGAGCTTTAAGCCATTGTGTGTATTTGGCCTTTTCTTTCCAAGAGAATCAACTCCATCTCTGGCAGGGTTAAAACGCCGGATTATCTGGAATCTTTGGTCGCAAAGTACTTGTTGAAATGTTTTAGCACACATGCAAAAAATAAAATATATATTTATATATATATATATCTGTAACTCATTAATAATTTAATTCATATTTGCACTTTAAAGAAAAAAAATGATGTCTAAGGGCACACTTTTGGACCAACTCCCACAGATCTACATTACAAAGCAATAACGTAGGACATGAAAATTCAGAGAAAGAGGTCTTTACTGCAGCTACAGAATGAGTTCAGAGCAGCCGAATGATGTGCAAACTGAATAATATTCAAAAAATATATACCTGCAGAAACCCACTTCCAAAACCTTCAAAGATTATTTAGACATAAAGAAGCCCTGAGCTTTAAAGAAAGAAGAAGAAGAAAAAAAAAGAAAGAGAGATACCCCTCCGCTTCAATAGCATGTTTATGCCAAGGGCAAAACCAACCTCCCGACTCGGTTGATATTCAGAGAAAGGAGCGGGAGCCGCATTTGCAATCATCGAGTGGCTTGTTGCTTTGCTATTTCATCTCTGCTGATTGCATTTATTATCTTCGAGCCTAATATCGAGTGAGGGGATATGAAAAGGTCATCAACGTAGATTGATGCTGATAATCGCGCCATTTCGACAAGAGACATACGTTTGAAACGGATTAAAAGCAACATAAGAGAATAAATTAAAAACGGCACGAGCCGAGGACCAAAAGAGGTAACAATTGTTGGTTTGATATGAGGATATACAGCAGGGATCAGTCAGGCAGACCATAATTAGGACATCTTCCGTAGCAGTAGGCTGTTGGTATATAAACATATGAAATATCAAGGCACGATTGTAGCTGTAATACTGCTCCAACTCTGAATTGCAGAAGCAGAAACACTCCTCGGATATAGGCACCCATTAGTTTAACCGTGACTAAAGTAAATTATGAAAATCCAAGCCAGCACCGTGTCAATTAAAAGTTTGCCGTCTGTTTTAAAAAGATCTGCTTCACATTAGGCTAGTTGCATCAGAACCGGTGCCAATATGGAGGCTTTTTCAGAGGATATCTTAGAAAAAATATATCAAAACCACACAACCTGCTCTCTTAATGTCACTTACCCGAGCACATGTACTCTGTATACTGCTCAGCAGAAGCATCCTTTGACATATATATATATATTACATTTTTACACAAATTTGTATGTGTCTTAATTGGATTTTATATGAGGACGAAAACAAAGTAAAGTATAACTATTAAGGGAAAAACTTAAGATTTTTAAAATTTATTTTGCAATTTAAAATTTTTGCATTTATATTCTGCCCCTTTATTCTGATACCAATAACAATAATAAAAAAATCAGATAGAGTTTATTAATAAATAACTACCATCAGTAAAGTCACAATTATGCCACAAATTACCTACGGGTGTCCACCTGAACAGGAGAGAGGCGGCCAGGAGAGGTTCAAAGGTCAAGTGAAAGTGTTGATATGATGGCATTAGTTATGCACTATGGAGAGAGTTTATTTCACTGCTGAAATAAAGTAATGAGGAGTTTTGTTTACAGTAGGAGACAAAGCAAACGTGAAAGAAGAAGATATTCCGATCATTTAAGATTAAAACTGGATTTTTGGACCACGTACAAAATGCTACAAGTGGCAGCAAATAACAACCCAAACCATGCAGACTGGTCTGTCTGAATGGTTCGGATCAAAACATTTTCACGTGTCATAGCGACCTAGTCAAAGTCCAAGCTCAAATCCAATTGAGAATCAGGGGTAAGACGTGAAAGTTGATGTTCACAGACACTCTTTGTATTATCTGATTAAATGAAATATTGCCTCAGAGGGGCTAAATGCAAATGGAGGAAACAATTTCCAAATGATTATTTGAAAAAGATTCTTACTCCTCATCTTCACACTACGTTGTATTGGTCTGTCACATAAAACCCCAATGAAAGACACACGGCTTTGCTAATGTAATGTGTGTGTGTGTGTGTGTGTGTGTGTGTGTGTGTGTGTGTGTGTGTGCGTGCGTGCGTGGGGGTGTGGGTGTGTGTGTGTGAGACGTTTAGCGGGTAAGAAAACCTGTAACAATCTGAAGTCTGGGTAAATTCTTTCTGCTTTGCCGCAGTCAGAAAGTTGATGCGTTCACGGCGAGAGTCTGCGGACGTCAAACGACACAACGGGCTCGTCTTGCACCGCGTTGTCTATCACAATGCTCGGGTGCGTCTCCTGGGTGTCCATCGAGATGGTCGAGTTCGTAGAAGGCGTCGCTCCGAAGTGCGGCCCGTCCACCGCCAGGAGCATCGGCATTCCCGACCGCTTCAGGCTATCGCTCATGGTCAGGTGCGTGTCCTCCGGGGTCGCTCCCATCTCCTTGCTGTACTCTGAAGGCGATTTCCTCTTTATCCTCTCATACGCCTTGTCTTGGCTTTCGGTGAACGTCTCGCTGTCCTGAAAGCGTCCAAACAGCCAGACGAAGAAGCCGAAGAGGACAAACGCCGCCAGACTTGGGATGAAGGCCAGGCACTTGATGTCCAAACTGGCCCCGGTGTAACGGCTGTGGAGGAACATGTCCCGCTCCACGTACGTCTTGTTGGTGCTCGGGTTGATGTTGGTGGAGCGCCACTCATAGGTGAGCGTGCTGTGGTTGAAGTCTCTGAGCGTTTCTGGCTCTTCCACTGTGTAGATCTTTTCTCCTGGCCCAACATACTGACCGTACTCATAGGGCTTGTAGAAAATCTGGTTCTTCCACATGTTTAAGTCCAATATAAGCACTAGGAAGATGATACCATAGTTGAACCACTTGCCTTAGGAGAGAGAGAGAGGCACATGAATAAGGGTTAGGGTTAAGGTTTGGAAGGATTGGGGTTGTTGTCCAATAATAAATTAGAAAAGTAATTTTTCAGGGTGAATTTATCAAGATAAGTGTTAATAATTAGATCAATTTCAAAATGGGTTAATTTAATCAACAAATGTAATTAATTAGAGTCAAAAATGTACATAGGGATGAAAAACTAGGTTATCAATAAACCTGAGACTTATTGGTTCCCAAATTCTTCTCAATTCTTCTTCTTTGTTCTGCTTTGGTGAAACTGGGTTGGATTTGGGTGACACAACAGGAAAAGGACCCCAGAAAAGGTCAAAAGCAATTTTGGAATGAATAAACCAGCCTATCGTTAAGTTTCTGAATCGGCCTTGAGCTCAACACTATTGGAAGTAAGTATACTGACGTTGCTCTAAAGCCGGGTCTCTGGCAGGAAATCAATGAACCTTCCAAACTCTGCCAAGAACATTCAGCCAGGTCCCAGCCTGAGTTTATTTGAGCCCATATGCATAATTTTAACACCATCATCGAGTCCAGACGCTTGGATTTTCAGTAACTGAAGTTGGTCGTTGTATGGCGATACTCTCCCCAAAACAAATTCAAATCAAGCTCAAGCCAATGACGATCTCGTGTAAAACCTCTGACCTCTGCTGCCCGGGAATACGCCATCAGAGAGGCATACCTTCACCGTCACGCATCAGGACTCCCTCTCGCTTTGCATTCAGCTCATGCGCCGTGAAAGAGAAATCCATTTTCAGGTGCTACTTTACAAGATCGCTATATTACCACGAGACGGACATCTCCTCAGGATGACTGATAGCAGGCAAATGTCTCCCCAGGTATACATGACACCACGAGGAAGACGATGCCATCTTCCCCCCAAAAGATGTGATGCTAATAAGCTTTTAGTTAAACCAATCACGTCGTGGTGTAGCCACTTGCATCACGCTTAATGGCTACCCAATGCAACAGGGTTAACAACCTCTTGCAAAAATTACCGCCCGCTTTGAAAATGTAGCGATTAGCTCAGGAACATTTGCTTTTTTTCTTCTTTCTCGGCTCTCAGCTGAGAAAAATGGTGGGAGGTGAGAGCGCCGTTTTAGAGGGAAAGCCGTACTCGTTCGCAGAGTGCACTGGCGCACGTGAGGAATGATGAAAACAGAGCTGAAGCGTCTGTGGCACCTGCGTGACACATCAGCTACACATGCATTATGAATGGCTGCCATGGTTTTAACAAACGAACCCTTCCCGACGGGGAGGGGAACGGGGAAAACTGGAGCAAGACACGCCACGTTTTTACTCCCAGTTTGTTACGAGAAAATGAAAGGTGCTTCTTCCTCATCGACTGAAAATGACGTCTTCCAGTTTCCCTGTCGTGATTTTTGCCTGTTTGTAAGCTGCAGATCCTCCACGTAGAGCAATGACACGACCGTCTTCCTTTTAACAGCATCGCTGCCCGAATGTACCTGTGATGTGAATGTGGTACTCCTCCTTAAAGACCCGCTTGCAGACAGGAAGCTTGACCTTCACATGTGTTGTTGACATTCCAGGTAAATTCATATCCAGGTCACCCATGAAGTGAGGAAACTCCCAGTCCTGTCAAAAAAAACAAACAACAAACACACACACACACCCACACACACGCACACCCCCACCCACACACACACGCACACACACACACGCACACACAATCGCCCATCAATTCAGTTAACTTCAACCAGATGCGGCGGCTCGAGCAGAAAAGAAACAGAAACGCATTCAAATGACAACTTCAGCAGTGAAAAATGTCAACCGTGCATCATCCGTTATTGGATGGTGCACACTTCACTGAAAGTCTCTCATATTAGCTGATATTAAGTCTCGGTGGAGTCTCTTCACACGCCGACTGAGGGTCAAACAAGGTGTCGGCCGCCGCGGCGCAGAGATCGCACCGAGTGTTTACAGGCTGGTGGAGTGAACCGGCGCGCGCTGGGATTTCAACATGTCAAAATGCATCAACAGGCAGAACAAAGTGACATTTAGAAGCTGCCGATGCCCTGCGGTGTCACTAAGCTACTTCCCCCACCGCACCCCCACCCCTCACCCACAGCATGAAGCTGGAAACTACAAAAGAAGAGCTGCCACTGTTCATACCGACACGATTCACAAGTATGAGAAAGAAATCCCTCCCTGAATGTTTCAGATGGCGCAGCAGCCAGGAGTGGCTCAATGCGGCGGAGATAACTACTGCAAATGCCTCGGTTTGGAGTGGACACGCCGCACTAGGGCTGGACCACACGGCTGAACAACGTATCGTCATAAAAACGTTACATATCAGCCGATGTCAATGATTATTGGTTACGTTTTTGTTGTTTTAAATATCTGAAAACCTAATGACATGACCTTTTCTGTTTTATACACAGTTTTCATTCTACTACATTATGAGGCCCTGTATATACATACATACATACAGATATGTATGTATAAATTAATACTTAATCTCAATAAAACCATCTGCCACAAATAAGTTTGTGTCATTCTTACTTGTATGAGAAACAAAAAAATAAATAAATAAAAAAATTAAAAGTAAAAACAAGGCAAACAGAAATCGCCTTGATCTGAGAACTACATACTAGCTGGGTTATTAAAAACCATCTTCCTCCAACAAATGAAGTTTTACAAAAAATAAATAAAATGAATCTAACAGGGACATACCACCATGTCTGCCTCCTGTGCAAAAGTGCTTACACACCAAATACAAAGAAATCGAGGTTCAGCAGAGGAAACGGCTGGGGAAACACACAGAAACATACACAAACATTCAATTTTAAAAAAAGGTAAAACCCTGCCTGGAGCTAAATCCAGACAGGACATTAATTGGCCTGAGAACACCTCCATCCACTATTCTCATGGAGATGAGAGATGAGCTTTGGCGCCGCTTCGACGTATAGGTGGACAAAGCTCTGCGGACGGCCGCGGCAGATGAAATCCTATCAATGGGTACAACGATGGTGACGGCCGCTGGTGCTGGTGCTTACGGCCTCCCCCCAACCCTGTGATGGGGATGGCTGCTAGCTCACCTCGTAAATTACTGCAGTAAATGTACTTGTTGTACACTGTGCAGGAAATGAGAAGGGCTGGTTGTAAACGGATCGCTGCGAGTGGAAAGTGACGTACAGCCGAGGGCGGAGGACTAAAAACCTCTCTGTGAGGGTGTTACGGCTCGGGGCCTCATGGGCTGGGTTGCAGGTGTCTTATTGTCTGTCTTTGTGTTCCTTCCCTTTACAGGTGGTTTGTTCATTTGGAGCACAGAGCATTTAAACCTGGCCGTCTCCAACTTCTGGGTCGCCTTCTGCATCCCACTCAGCTGCTTGACGCTTGTGGTGTTTTTTTTGCTGGGCCTCAGCTCCCTTCCTTTCACACCATTGTTTGTTGTCTTTGTTTTTGGACGTCGACACTTCCAAAGGCACTCATACACCACTGATGCTGACATCCACAATCCATTGTTGTTTTTGTTAATAAATATTCCTTTTTATGCACTTTTACCACTGCATGATCTCCCGTTTTGTTATGACTTTGAGCCAGTCGTGACACAGGGGCATTGCGTGAACTGAGCTAGTTCATTGCATCTGCATAATCACATTGGTCAAATTAATGTGAAAAAAAAAAATCAAAGTGAGAAGTAATTAGCAGCCAGAGCAGACCTTTTTAATATAAATACATATATTTTTTCAATGAAAGCAGCCTGAAACTCACTTTTGGAGCTGTATTACAGATTCAAGGGAAATATACTGGTGACCTTGCGAGCTTTCTGTGGAGCGCTCCATTTGTAACGCTCAGACATGTTCTCCCAAGAAACTGCTTCCTTTTTTAATTAGCACAACAAACAGACCAGGGACATATACTTAAGTAGCAACAAATTTTAGTCAGGCAGCACCGTGTGTCTAATGAGTCCATAGCAAATCTCTTTGGATTTTCTGTTATGATTTATACACAGGAACACGTGAGGGTCATACAGTAACTTGTAAAACCATTCACACCTCTTGAACAGTTTTACATTTGGCGATGTTGGAACCACAAACTTTAATGTATTTTATTGGGATTCGATGTGGCAGACCAACACGAAGTGGCACTCAGCTATGAATCAGAAGGGAAATTAAAATTGTTTAAACATCTAAATAAAAAGTTACGTGCTGCTGATAATCACAGATCAAATCCAATGCAATAAATTGGCGACGAAAACGACCCAGTTCTGTCAGTTTTGTCCACTTGTGAACCGGAGTCCGCTTGTGTTTCGTATAACCTCATAACAGTCTAGATGCTATTAGAAAGCACAGCTGATTGTCCAGTAGACTTGGTTCGAATGGGGGCCAAAATTGCAACATTTGGTGGATTTTCAGATGGCGCGGTTTTCTTTCACACTGCACAGTGTCAAGCGAATCAAATCCTTTGAAAGGGGTAAAGTCCCTCTTTACTTCCTCGGTTGCTGTGAAGCTGCAACAAGAACCACTGAAGGAAATGACACGAAAGCCTCTGAAAGCGACACTGAGCTCAACTTCCTTCCTCACAAAATGCAAACAAAAACAGAGTAGTGTCAGATTTCAGCAGTTGTAGGATTTCTATTTTGTTTTTGACAAAACTCCACGAGCTATTTCTCTTGCTGGCACCAGACACGCACATTTTGTCTGTTTGCATTTACCCAGAATGCTAAGCGCAAGAGTCTGCCTCCTGCGTTGGAGAGGTCTCCAGTTCGCTTGGCTTTCACACTGCATTCGAACCGCACCAGAGTTCACTTCAACCAAACTGAGTCTTAGGTTTTCAGGCGGACAAGTGTTCACTCTTTCCCACTTTCTAGGCAGACAAACTATAATTTGATGATAGCGAACTAAAAAAAAAAAAAAAAAAAACCTGGTGTGAATCAGCTTCAGCCATTGATTAAGAAAGACATAAAAAAAAAAAACATTCTCATCAACAACAAAAAAAGAAAAAAATGTGTGGAAGATATTCATCCGTTCAGATTACGCCAAGATTTTGGTCCACATGCAGAAACGCTAAGTCAGCTGGAAGACATAACACTGCAGGTCACCCTGCACCTCTTAACAGCCAGTGCTGGGGAACAAACAAAGAGGGAGAATCTTGTTAAAACCAGAAACCTTCATGTTATAATGAAATATAAAAATACATTCCTCTAACAGATTGCAACTGCTTAAAGAGAATTAAAGGGACTTCCTCTGACTCTCCATCTTCTCACTCCATTTCTTCCAGAAGACACTCGTGAGGTGTTGCTGCTTTATTGCGATGACCTCTCTCATTTAAACAAGATCATTTTTTTTTTGTTTTATTGAGACATAAAGCTCAATGAAAGTCATAATGAGATTTTAAATTCACGCGTTATATGCCATTACACAAAGACACTTTCTAGTTTTAACAATATACCACACATGCATTTGTTTAGCTCTGGGAGTTAAAGGTTTAAACACTGGAAACACCTCTAAATACAAGGCAGGCAGAACTGCCATGGGATGGATTATACTTAAGGATATTCACGCCTTGCAATGGCCCAAACATAAACCCAATTGTGAATTGTGTGCAAGATGAAAAAAAAAAAGAAAAAAAGCTGTTCAGGTCCTCTTTCACTCTGAGTTTGAGCTGTAATCGCAAAGAGAAGTGGCGAAAAAAGTTTGGTCTCTTAAAGTTCAAAGCATTTTGAGACGAAACTCAAAGGGCTTGCAGCTTTCACTGCAAAGTATTGACCCTAAAAAGAAAGGAAGAGAGGGAAAGAGAGAAATATAGAAAAAGAGAGAAAAGACACTTTTCACTCTTTTTTTGCTGTGGTCTCTCACAGTCCAATAAAGACCCTGAAGTCAAACGTATTGAGGATGTAAAAATTGGAAGAAAAAAAATGCGATAAACTCGAAAAAGGTACAACTGCTTTTGCGAGGCACTGTGTGTGTTTGCCATGCTTCACTCGCGAGGTGTCTTCAGTACAAAAGCATTGGTGGCTTTTTCTGTAGAGGTTCAGTCAAACCACATTCATATTTATGAGATGGTGACATAAATGGAGAACACGGGAGAAAGTAATAAAACGGCACAAAAAAAACAAATAAATAAATCAAATTGTGACTCATGAGCATTTAGGAACAGAAACTACGCTCAGACGTGTTGGATCAGGTGTGGGGAAATCAGAATGGCAGGACTGAAAGGAGAGAAGGAGAGGAGAAAAAGAAAGATTTGTGACCATGCCAGCTGAGAGTGATCAAACACTTTCTCTTTTCCAGAGCTATGTGCCGCAGAGCTCCGTTGATGAATAGGGAAAAATGGGAACTGGCAAGACGGGTAGTGGACTGAGCCAAGAGACGTCCATGTCCCTCCCCCCTCCCCAACCCTCTCTTCCTTTTTTAATTGGCCACAAGGGAGCGTTTTACCTGCATAACAATGAGAAGGTCGAAGACCAAGATGAAGGAGGCCAGGAAGGCTCTGGAGACCTCGTCGCTGGGCAGGAAGCCGCGGTTGAGGTTGTCCCAGCTGATCCAGTCGGTGCTGATGACCAGGACCACCACCGAGGTCAAAGAGATGAGCACCGTCCTGCAGGGAAGTGAAGAAAAGTTAGCGTGAAGGGAGGGAAGGTTAAAATAAAAAAGGAGAAAAAAAAGTGTGGCAAAGAGAGACAGAAGGGAGAGATCTGTGAATGGAACAACGAAAGTCTCGGGGTGCATTCATACCAGCCTTGTTTCGTCTGCTTTAATTGGACTCTAGTTTGTTTTCCTGGAAAGCCTGTTTTCATTTGGAGAAGTGTCAATACGGGATGGAACTCTGCTGCAAGGCAAACTCTTGTCCACCTATAAGCCGAGACGTCGGCTGGAATAAAGTGAATTCTGCCGAGATCGCTCCAAAAGCAGGAAGTGGACTATAGCACAGGGCATTCTGGGTGAATACAACCAAAATGGTGCTGCAGTTCTTGCTGCAGCACCGTCACAGGTGAAAAGGGTGAACAGGTTTTTCAATCGGTTTGTTTCTTTGACGCAGTGCAGTGAGGAACCAAACCGCACCAGTTGAAAGCGTAGCAATTTTGGTCCCCAATCAAACCGAGCCCACTGGACCATCAGGTGTGAAAGCACCCTTAGAAGACGATGTGAATAAACAGAAAAGTCTGTATATGCCAAAATAATGTAAATCCGAACTCAACTGCTCACCAATTTCCATGCATTTACATGTTCAACACAAAACCGCTCGTAGCGATTGCTGTGTTTTCTTGCATAAGTCAGCTCCACATTCACCGTTTTGCTGGAAAACATCTTCATTCATGTGAAGAGAGACGCACTCTCCTTGGATTATTCTCCACTGGATATTTTCCCCTCAATGTCATCCGACCATTTTTGTGCTGCTGTGTGCATTTTCGCACCGCACGACGGCCGGTTGCCCTGCAGACACAGGCTGCCAGCTTGTATCCCATTTCAGCAGAGCGGGGGAGAAAAGTTTTAGGAGGGGGTTTTAATATTCCACAGCGGGATTCTTGCTCTCGGAGTGGCCAATCTTTTGGCAGCCGTCTGTCGGCCGGCCGCCGCAGTGTATCGACGAGACCCGTCCCGTAGAGCATTTATCAATCACATTTCAAGCTCTGATTCCCAAACGATGGCCTCGTCAAATCCAGCCATCGATTGTGACGGCGCGAGCCGGGGCCGCCCGTCAATAAAAACGAGGGAAGTCGCAGAAGAATTTGTCTGCTTGGATTTCAAATCGCGGGCGAGTCGATTTCAAGGGAAGGGAGGAAATATTGGCGATTGCGGCCAAACTCTCTTTGATAGGTCCGCATACGTGCCGCCGAGCGTTGCGTGTCCTTCAATCACTCCGTGACCCGCGAATGAACCGATGGCGAGCACGTTCAGATGTCATATCTGACTGACAGCGATCACGGCGAGTGAGTTAGCACCTCTGGGACTGTGCAGCCCGCGGTTGCATACTTATAAGCAGAAATCGGACCCACTAATCTATCCCATAATGGGCATATCAGACACGGTTTGCTGCATTTGTTTACAGTTTATTTCAGGGTCACAGCTTGTGGTAGGGCTAAGTAAAAGACAGGTTTGTGGCACACCCAGCAACCTTGCGCTGTCCATCGATTTTCACCCTGCTCCTCTAATTAAAGGTGCTGACACTGAATGAGGGCAGATTAACACGGATATTCTCTGCACGCAGCCCTGCGACAGGCTGCTGAGGCCATAAGACGTGCATGCATGCGCACACACATCTTTGTGAAGCATCACGCTCCATGCAAACACATTTGGTTTCACCGAGGATAAAGAAATGCATGCCATTGTCGAAAAAAAAAGAAAAACATACCAGAAGAGGACGATTCGATTGTTGCCACGTTTCCAGAACCTTCTTGCAGCTTTGCCCCAATCTGGGTAGTGTTGATCCTGAAGCATCATATCCGTCACCTGAAGTGAATGAACAAAAATTCAAAAAGGCAATGATAAGAAGGGTAATAAATCATTTAGCAACTTTGTAAGACATTTTTTTATAGACCAATATTATCCAGGCCTGCTTTTTCATTTTTAAAAACACAAATTACTATTCTATGAGGAACGATTTTAGCAATTCCTATCAGAGGATTAGACTGAAAATGGGCAAGCAACTGCAACCATTTAAAAAAAAAAATTGCCTGGAGCCACTGTTTGCTTTTGGATGATATACTTAACCGCACTAGTCAGTGAAAGGAGAGTGAAAGCAGGTCTTAAAATGTTTTTCTTAACCTCACCAGTTTCTTAACCTGACAGCACAAAGGCACAACAAACTCCATTTAACAAAGAAAGAAATGCACAAAGCAACAACAAAAAACAACAGCAAGTCACAACTCAACAAAATCTGCAGCAAATGTCAACACAAAACATCAGTTTAGCAAAAACAAAAGCTGCAACACAACTAAAAAATACACACAGCAACAACAAAAGTCACAACACAGCAACAAAAATAAAAATAAAAAATCAACAAAATCCACAAGAAAAGTCACAACAGCAAAAGCCATAAAGCAACATGAAAAGCCTCACCATAACAAAAAGCACAACGCAACAAAATTCACAAAAAGTCACAACACAAAAACAAAATTAATTTAACAACAGCGAAAGCTGCAACACAACAACAAAATGCACAAAGCAACAACAGAACACAAAAGTCACAGCAACAACAAAAGCCACAATGCAACATAACTAACAAAAGTCAACGCAACAGCAAAATCCACAAACAAGTCTCAACATAGCAAACGCTGTAACCCAACAAAAAACACAACATAGCAGCAAAAAGCTGCAATGTAACTACTTTTCATTCAACAACATGCAAGAATGAGCGTATTTTTCCACATTTGGAACTCCATACCTGGCAGGTGCACTTCGTGCTCCCGCTTTCACACTGTTTTGATGTATTAACATAACTTCCTATGTCCAGCCGCCTCTCGCCCTTTCACAGCTGGAGGTAGATCAGTCCCTCCCAACCCCAACAGGATAAGAATGGAACGTAACTTTCACTTCAGTGTGAATGTTGCTTTAGAAGAACTTCCCTTGTGGCTTCTGCTGTTTTGTTGTGGCTTTGCATTTGCATTTCTTTGACCCTTCTGGGACACCATATTTAACAGCATAAAAGGATTTACATTACAAACACCAACATCTATAAAAAAAACACCGTCGGTCCAGGTTTCAGGTCATGCAGCTCTATTGCATAGTGCTTCCCCCATGTTGTCTGTACATGAAATTACTTTGCCCAAACTAATTTCATTTTGGACCCTTAAAACTATGGCTTTTAAACGTTTTGCCAAAATTATGAAGTTTAAATCGTTCTTAAATAAATTAGCAAGAAACTTTTCATTGAGAAATTGCAAACTTTTGACTGCTTATCAATAAACTTAACAAAGAGAAGTACTTTTTTCAAAGTAAAAAAAATCTACTATGTCCTAATCCTTTAGGGTTGATTGTTTTCTATGTTCTGGTACTAAAAAAATATACTTTCAGTTATTTTTAAGATGGAAAAAAGGGGCTTAACTTGTTTATTGGTTGCTTTTTTTCCCCACTCTTTAGGACTAAAAGTCACAAATAACTTTGAACAATCTCCCAGTGACGGATATTGTTGACTGGACTTCCTCCATGAGCGGCAGCTGACGGCATCCGTTTATGGGCGGACGAACATCCTTTAAATCATAAGATATTTTTATTGGGTAGTGAGTTGTTTCAGGATGCTGTTAATGCACAAATCAACATTAGTCTTTCTGCAGAGCTGCAGCAGTCAAGGTCAATTCAATAAAGCGCCTGACAGCAGATTGTAAAGCTCGTGCTGGAGGAAAGTATTTCAAGCAGGGAAATGGGAGGTGATTTTTGCTCTCCTTTGACTCTAGCAGTGAGCGTACTCTGCTCTGTGGAGGAAACAAAGAGGTCTTGTTCAGAGTGCTTTATTGAGTTAATAATAACAATAAAAAAACAAACACTTGGTGAATAATTTCTGGCATCAGCACTTTTGTCGTCGCATAAAATTTCTGTGCATCCGTGAATCACCTTCCTCTTCCGCTTCGCCCTTGTTCCCCTTTCACCCGTTTCCTTCTTCCTACTCCAACACTTTCTCTCCCTCTAAAGTATGTACCTTGGAATACTAATGCGACGGGTGAGGGAGGTTGGCAGGTTTGTCTCGGCTGTGAGCCCCACTCCTCCCAGCAGAGGAGACCCGCTCCCGCTGGAGCTCCTCTCCTCTTTCATGTTGAATAATGAACAGAGGTGCGTTCCTCCTGCAATGTGCCCCGTCCCTCCATTGTTTTCCCTGACACCCCGTCCCCCCTCAGATCTTTTGAGATCCTCTGGGAGTCGCAGCCTGAACTAAATTACTGCTGAATGCTGTTCGGATGTAGCGGGCACATCCGACCGCGTTTCTGTTTATTGGCAGTAATCGAGGCGTTCCGAGCCCCGTCCGCCAAATCCGACCATTAACAAAAACATCTTAATACGATCTTGGATCTGTTACTATGAAGAGAACAGAACCTTTAGAAAGATGCTAAAAGATATATTTTTTGGGGGGTGGGGTGGTCATAAACTTAAAGGCCAAAGTTTGATTTACTAAAATTTGGGTTTGTGCTGTTGCTAACTGTAGTGAGCATCTTACCTGTGGCAGAAAATTTTTATCAAAGGAGGCTCAGAGAAAGTCTGATTCTGGGACTATTTTGTGTTTTAACTTATATTGGAAAGCAAAAGGCTCCATACCATAAAACTCAAATGACAAATACCAGTGAACAAGTTCATCTGGAGCCCTGGTAGAGCTGGTGAAAATGTTGATCAGGACAAAATAAGGTCACTCCGAATACAAAAAAACGTTCGGGTTATCCCCACTCACCAATTCAATGCTGTAAGTAACTGGAATGATTGTTTCACTTTTGAGCCCCGTAAACCTAATAGCTCCATTCTTACCATCCAGGCTGTAACAAAATCTCCCATCCACGTCCCCACTGCAGCAATCTTCATAAAGCTCTCATTCCTGATGCCCATATATTCTGTAACCATGTGAGGCCTGCGAGCACAAAAGAAGAAGAGACATAGACAGGACATAATGAACGCTGTGTATTTTTTTGGAGCGTAGAAGAAGAGAAGGAGATGAAGAAGAAGGTAAGAGCACTGTCGAGGAAAATGAGAACAAGAAAAATTGTTCTCTGCCTCTAAGTATTATGATGCCGGTCATGATGGTCAATCAATATAAACCTAATCCTGAAGAAAACAATGAGTGCTGGCTCTGCCTCGCACAAAGCCCCCAGGATTGTAAGCAATTTACCTCAATGCGGAGGAATCTATGCTATATTTCTGCTCTCGTTTGCTTCAGCAGCCTTTGGCAAACTATTCATTTGTTTTGCCGTATTTGTCTCATGTCTGGTTTATTTTAGATCAACGAAAAGTTAGCGTCCGCCGCCGCACGTGCAAACGAACCCGCAGTGGGACCCCGCGGCGCCATTAGAGAAAACAACCTCCCACGGCGTGGCGTCCGGTAGGGAAACGACACGCTTTCTACGGAGACCCAGCTACTCCTTCGGGTCTGTGCGGCGGGAGAAGATCAACCGCTTTTTGTTCAGTCTCGCAAACCCACCCACCCAACGCACACATCCCATCCCACGCTACATCACTCCATTTTCTCCAGGTAATAGCTCAGGAGGGAGGGAAAGTGGGTCAGTCGCCTTTTCTATATGGAACTTGCCAGGGAGAGAAGAAGAGGAGGGATGTGCGGAGGGGTTTGGGGGGGGGGCGACGAGCCCTGTTTGATCTTCTGGCAGCTAGTGTCTTAGAAGCTGAAGGAGAACAGGTGGGCGCCAGCCTAATAACCCCCCCCAACCCATCCTGCTACTCCCGCCGCCCCAGCAGGTCACACTCGTGAATATAATAGATGACGATGGATGGAAGCTCGGGCTGTGCTTTCAAGAGGTCATATTTGAAGTCAATGGTTCCATTCATCTTTGTTTTTCGGGGTCATTTTGTGGCCGCGAGCGAACACTGAAATGATTCCTCATTGCACTCAAAGCTTTGGGAAAATCTTGGCTACAATCAGAGCTTATTTCCAGAACTTTTGCTTCCACATGATTGTTCTTCCGCCCCCCATTTTATTCCTGGTTTGTTGTTTTCTTACTCAGCTGTCGGAACATAGTGGAGACTATATATATATTCACAGATGGAGCAGAATGAATTAAGTTGTAATTATTATTATTATTAATGTCAGTAGTGCATCATGCAAGTGGCACAGGCAGAATGGAGTTCTCACAAGGCAGCGCTGACGAACCTGTTGATGTTTGTCACATTATGACAAATGTATCGTGTTAATGTGATACACTGTTTGTTTGTTTTTTGGGGGGGGGATTTAATTTATTTCAAACAAATTTTCAAAAACAAGAAAACAAGCTATCTATCAGCAGAAGAGAGGTAGATGAAATTTAGCTGAGCAGCTCTGATCAAGCATGATGCTGTCACTTTCCACTAAACAAAGAGTTTTAAATGTAGGTCAAAAAGTTCAATGTTGGTCTCATGACTGAACTTTTTGAGGCTAATTAGCAAACTGCAAATGAGCCTCTAATGGTTTTCTTTGCTCCTCGTCTCTCATTCATGACCTGTGGAATTCAATGAAAGGCAAGGAGAAAAAAATAAAAACGAAATTTTAATTTTCTCTCAACAACAAATGTCACATGAAAGTAAAAAAAAAAATAATAATAATAATTGAAATTCAAGTTTTTTGTTTTCCTTCTCCTCATGGAACTTTTTTTTTCTGAAAGAGGAGTATTAAAAGATAGTGATGTGCGAAATTTAATCAGCCGACAGAGTGAAAAAGAAAAACAACTGCACATTACAAATGTTCATTCATACTAAGTATAGAAAGCAAACATTTACAAATCCGTTAGGGTTTTAATCAAGGCTCATGCATTTTCAAATTATGACACCACGTCATGATCTGAAATGTTTTGAGTATATAATCATCCAAAACTCAAAATATCTCTAAAGTTCACCTCAAAAAATGGGGGGGGGAAGAAATCTTCTCCTCCGAAAACATAAATCAGGTGTCATTTCCGCAGCATATGTCTAAGGGTATTTGACAGGATCTTATCGACCGAAATGTGCAGTCCTGCAGGTGACGCATAGCCTCGGTTAAGCCGGCAAATAAAACCGGCCTTGATTGGAATGGCGATTTATATCTGCATTAAGTCGGTTAGACACACAGTGGGTTGGCTCCGCTCCAGTTTCCAAGGAGATCCCGTTGGGAGTCATTTACCCGCAGCAAAATTCTAATCGATTCTTCTGAAAATGCTGTCTGGCACCACACGCAAGGGCCTCTAGATCTTAAAAAAATAAATAAATAAAAAGTACTGCTGCCCTTCTCGCATATTTAATTGACCAAATGTTACTCAACCAGTCAGACAGGGATTTTAATATCATTTGCCCCCACCCCCTCTGCTTTTCAGAGCACCTATGATGAGCTTGGGGGGTAAAGAGGGGGTGTGGGGGGAGGGCTCTTCGTACTGCATGATCAGAGGCGGAGCACTTCTGGGTTATTCATGCCGACTGAAAATTTAATGGCCTTTAGAGCTGGATGACCTAATGAGAGATTTCGGTGTCATGAAACATCAGTACAGTAGCACCATGAATAATCAGCTCTAAATGGTTCCCGTGGCCTGATCTCGGAGTCGTTTGCTATGCGAGGGCCGGCGCGGCCGACTCGGGCGGCTCTGACCCCTCGGAGGAATTTTATCAGGTCTCCCACACTTGTTCGGACATTATGTTCAAGGACGCTCGATGCCTTTGTGTCTCGTTCTGTTCTGTCATAAAAGTGAGGGCTGACACGATGCAAGAGGACACGGAGTTATGGAGTTTAGAAAGTGACCCCCGTCGGATTAGAACTCAAACGTTTTGGCTTTGTTAGAATATTTAAAAAAAAAAGATTTACTGCACTTTAGGTTAGCTTGGTTGGAAGCGACACGGCTTAAACTTCATCGCAGAAAGTTTTTAAAGATGTACTTCTGGATTTGCTTGGTTTTTATATATTCATAAAATATAAACATTTGAATACAATCTCAAAATATTTTGAGAAAGAATAATGGTCTTACCCCTTCCATGATTTTGTTTAATTAAATGAAATGTATTTCACATTACATTGTTAAAATCTGTAAGCTCCCTTTTTTCCCTCCTTTTGTTCAATTTTATCTACTCAATTTTGTTGAAGATAAAGGTTTTAAAATCCAATGCGAAGAGAGCTTTCAATGCTCTGAGTCATAAAATTGCCTTATTATATAAATATATATTTATAGATTTCTCCCCCCCACCGACTCTTTGGGCATATGTGGCATCCCAGCTTTTATAAACCTGCTTTTTCTGTCAGAGACTGGCAGTGATTTAGTGACTGTAGCGACTGACTGACCTCCTCTGCCCTGTAAAAAGCTGAACTCATTCAGAACATTAAATTGCGACCTTGGCTGGCTCCACATTGAAATGCATTGCCTGTCTCTTTCCTGTGCACTGTACAGTACCCAACACTGCAAGAATTTTACAACAGTGGTTACCAGGAAACATAAAGCCGCCACTAAAGACCTTTTTTAATATCGCTTTGCCATCTCTAAAGATGACTTAAAGGCCGATAGCTCCCTTTCCCACCCCAGAATCAGCCAAATAAGTTATTAGAACTACTGCTGATTAAGTACATCACTCCTAAATTTCTCCAGGCGGTTTTATATACAACATTATATCAAGACCTTCCTTTTCCACTGTCGTCGTGAGCTTAAAAGCCTCTATGCAGCATTCACGTCATTACATTTTCAGTGTTTTTGTGGTTTTTCCTTTGGATTGCTTTGTTGAAACCTCGGACACAATTTGGAGAAAGTTTACAGACATCAACAAAGTACACGAATTACATGCTTTGTGTGCGTTGGTGTTTGTTTAGGCAGAGCTCAAAAGGTATAACACAAAAATGAAATAAAATCTCTAAATGGAATCTGAAACTGAAGCGTCGTTCTCAGGTCACGAGTATCGATACCCTGGCGATCGAGATGCAGGATTATGGGGAGGTTGGCTGAAGTCAACCTCCCCATATATATAATATATATATAAATATATATATATATATATATGTATATATTTTAGTAAATATATATTAACTGATATATATGGTTCCATACTTTGGATATCAGCTCAAATGTTCACAATTGTGAATCCCTACATCAGACCAGGGAATTTCTATTTGTTGTTGTTTTTTTTTTTTTATCAAAATCTGTTGTCCAGCTCTAGCGAGCCGGTGTGAGCTGCAGCCTCAGCCCTAGCTGACCTCGGTATGGTCTTGTGGTGCTGTAGCAAATCTACTTCAAGGTTTGACACGTTGTGCACTCGGAGAAGGAGTCCTGCAGATTCCCAGGCTTTTTGTGTTGTGCTTTATTTTGAACCGCAGGTTGAAATCGGAATGAGGTGGAGAGGGAAAGGAAACGTTCCATGAACAAGCTGTTACATTTTCTTGCATAATATATATATAATGGTGTGAAAGGTATGGTTTGGGGGGGCATGCTGAAAGTATTTCTAAAATCCGCGGTGCAGCATACCTGTCTCGGTCCGAGTTGGACGGGTTCTGGGGCTTCGGTTTTTACACTTACCCCGAAGGTCACTCTGTGTTCTGGTGCAATGAGTTTTGTTCTCTAGGTTTCCAAAGTTTCTGTTAATTTATCTCTTAGTTATTCAGTGGGCGTCTTGCTTCTCGCCTTCGTACTGTAGCCCTTGTCAGAAAATGCATGTCCTCAGGTTCACTTGTTTTTCCACTTTCCCATTTCACCACCTGCTCCCCGTTTCCCAGCCAGTCCGCCAGCTTGCACTCAAAATCAATCCTATCCTTGGGTCTCATGGTTATTTCTCACATCCATTTGTTTGCCTGATTATATCGAACCTACCAGCATGTGCGCCTCATCAAAAGCAAGTCAGCTTTCTTATTATCTCCATTTACATGTGAAATGCATCGATTCCCAACGTCCAGAGTTTAGCTTAGATTTTTAGTTTTGGAATTGA